AGTAGTCGAGGTGAAACCCTGGATATCGAACGGGAAACCAAAAAATAAAAAAACCCAAGTATTTAAAATTTGATGACGAATTATTAGGTTTAAAGATTTTATTCAAAAATTATATTTATTAATTAATAAATAATGAAATAATTCATATCAATTATTCAACATATTAATAAATATCCAAATGCTAATGCTTTTAAATATATAATTAATAATTGTTTTAAAAGAATTATTAATGTGTATGTGGTCCTCATCTTTATAGTACTAATTTACTTATTCTTTGTTTACCCTCGGATATTTTAAAATTAATTTTTGAGTATAATCGAGTGATTTTAAAAGTGTGTTTCTTATATAGAACTAATATATCTAAAAAAATTAACTTTTTTAAATATTAGTAGTGTAGAAATTTAAACTTTAAATTTAATTTATAAAATTTTACTTATATAATAATAGAATTTTTTTAATAATATGAAATATTATAAAAATAAAACACATCATAACTTTAAAATTGATTACTTAATAGTTATGTAAAATCTCATATATGTACACCACTTAACTCACACACACATAAAGACCTTATATAATAATAGATAACACTTTGAGGTTATACTAATTTAATTAATTACTAGTAATTATTGGTTAGACAATTAATTACTACAACTTTAATTTTTATATATTTACCATTACTTTGTCTTTATTTTGAGTAACATAAAGTTTGATTTCTCAATTTCTCTCTCTCTCACGTGCAAACAGCTTCTATTATACAACATTAATTAATCACCGACCATGACCATGACCATGAACATGACGTTTGTTCATGCACGTCACCTAAATCCATGTTTATCCCTTTCTTATTTTCGATTTGTTGAGATGATCTTGAACATTAGGGAATTTGTGGAAGGGGGGAAAATTGAACATATACAAGGTAGGATTTTGGAACCCTAATAAGTTAAGGTACTTGTGGGTACATTAGCCACGCATCTCAACTGAGACTGCAAATGCTTACATCAGTATTTGACTGTATTTTTAACCAAAATTTGAAAGTTTAGAGTTATAACTACGAACATTAGGAGCTGTGGCTAAATATCTCACAATAAAAAAATTTAAGAACTATATGCATTAATTTCATGTTAACTCTTTTCTTTTCTTTTCTTTTCTTTTTTGTGATTTTTTATATGTTTAATTTATGTGACAAAATAAGTTAATTAAAATTTCACATTATCTTTACATGGATTAATATTAAAGGAATAATTACTATTACGTAAAAGAAACGCATAAAGGATGACTAAAGCGAAGATCAAAAGAGATTGAAGGGAGCACTATTCTGTTAAGTAGTGTAATATATATATATATATATATATATATATATAAAGAGTCAATCGTTCGTCTAATTATTTTTATTTTGTTGTTTCAATTGCGAAACATGAAATTAACTTTATTTTATAAACATTGCTACACTACAATCCCACCACAAAATGAAAACCTAAATATACATTCAAATAGTAGTATTATTTAGTAGGTTACGGTTATAATCACCGTTAAATTTGTTAAGCTTACGAAAATTATTAAATTTTCATTTTAATTTAATTATCAAAATAGTTAATACTTATTATTTAACAGATTAAAACTAGTTTATAAATAAATATTTTTAAATATTATAACTAATTGTTTAAAATTTTATAAAATAATAAAATTACAGTTAAAATTGATAACATTAATAAAATCTCTAGTTACAATAACCTAAACCCATTTAGTAGTAGTGAAATGAGTAGATATGGCCTAACTTCTAAATAACTTATTTACAAAAAGGAACAAGAAAAAGTTACTAGTGACTTATTTCTTAAAAAATAAAAATTGCTGTCATTGTACTATAACTCCCCATGCGTCTCACTGGTTGGGCTGCGCTTTTCCATGAAGAGTAGGTGGAGTTCACCCATGTTCGAGTCTTCTTACTTACTGAACAGATACTAACTTATAACCATTGTTCTCTTGTAAAAAGAAAACCTCTAAAAAAAATTTGTAATAAATAAAAACCATTGTACTACATTTGACATGTTTCAAAAGCTTAAGCCCCCTGTCCTACACTAACTCTGTCCTTGATTATTGTTAGTGTCGATAATTAACCAGTCCACAATTTTGTTTAGTTCTGCATTAGCAAGTGGGACTTCAATTGGGCTTCAACCCACAGCCACTTCTGATTTTTCAGTGCATCCGGTGGGCTGGCTGCCGCTAATCCCAGACCCAACCGGAAAAACAACTTAATTTAATTACGAGGAACCAAAAATGAAAAAGATAAAAAGTAACAAAGCAAAACCAAATAATTTTTTCTCATCGAACTTTAAATAAACAAAATATATATATGGATACAAACTG